TAATTCTTTGTGTACTATTTTGGGGCCTCATGGGCTTCTTCCTTCCATGCTAGCTCATCTATTGGTGGTTTCCTGTTCAACTCATGTTTAAGAAACTATGTTGGTGAGACTTTAATGGGTGTAGCTTCTAAAACTGCTAGGAGACACAATCTCACAGCAAGCTCCCTGGTCCTCTGGCTTTTACAGTCTTTCCACTCCAGCTTCCAAAATGATTCCTGAGCCTTAGGTTTGGGAATTGTGTTGTAGAGGTATCACTTGGCCTGGGCTCCACAACTCTGCATTTTGATTGGTTGCATTTTTCTATAATGGTCTCTGTTGCAAAGAGAAGTTCCTTTGATACAGGGTTAGGAATACACTTATTTCTGGGCATAATGACAAATATTTAGATTGTAATTAGAAACCATGCTGGTTTAGTAAAGTGATGGGTGTTTCTAATCTTTTTACCTCTTTACCCTCAGGGTTTTGTCTCTAACATGTTGCCAAAGGTTCTTAAATAGTCTCCTGAATTATTCTAATACAATTTGTAGATAGCTAATTTTGGTTGGTGTATGTATATGTGTGCGTGGTGATGGGGAAAAGACAGGGATATAATACTCTGCTATTTATTCTCACGTTATTGTATTGAAATCTTTTCAAGTGTGTGTGTGTGCCTGTGCCAAACATAATACAACTTTTTTGTTGTCTAAACATTTTGGCTGTAGGTAGCAGATTAAGAAAGTAACTTTATGTCTTCCTTTAAAAATGTTATTAATGTAATTTTATAACCCATTGAATGCAATGCTATAACCCATTGAATGCTACCTATATACTTATCTGTGTGGATCCATCTGTTGGAGCATGGCCAACTTGGCCAGGTCGGGGACCAAATCCCCCCCAAAAAACCCAAACAAACAAAACCCCCAAAGCCCTGACTCTCTTTTCCCTAGCAGCCACTAACTGTCAATAGCTCCTTGGCTGGGGATAGGGACTTGTGAACACTACCACGTTGGGGTGTTTATTGGCCTCATCTTGTGCAATCAATCACCATGAGTGCAATGGCCCTGTTATGTCCAGATGACATTCAAAGCAGTTCTTTCTGACTGCCTTTTCAGCACTGGCCTTCATTCATCCTTCTACATCTAGGAGTCCGTTGAACTGTTAGTGACTTCCAGAAGGCACCTCCTTATCATTATTTTACATCATCTTAGGGAATTTTTTTAATTAAGAAATTTTTTATTCATTTTACATACCAATCACAGATCTCCTTCTTCCCTCTTCCTGCCCCTCCAGCATTCTCCCCCTAAACCAATCCCCATTTCCTCCCCTAACAAGGTATGGCCTCCCATGGGGAGTCAGCAGAGCCTGATACATTCAGTAGAGGCAGGTCCAAGCCCCTCCCCCTGCCTCAAGGCTGTGCAAGGTGTCCCACCATAGGTAGTGGGCTCCAAAAAGCCAGCTCATGCACCAGAGATGGATTCTGATCCTACCGCCAGGGGGACCCTTAAGCAGATCAAGCTATACAACTGTGAATTTGCTTTCAACTGTTATTTATTTTTTTTGGAATGTTACCTAGATCCAACTATTTCCCTTATCTGTGTTCACTAGTAAAATACCAGTTTCAAGACAAAGTTGATACATTTATTTTCCCATGATGGAACTTTGCTGGTCGGTCTCCACTACTTTAGTTAGAATTCTCTCCTTTTGTCCTTTTAGAGTAGGATATATAACACGAATTTCATTTATTGATCATTTCTAGTGTAGTTACCATTTCTCACCCATTTTTTTTTTCTTTTTACAATTTCTAGCATTTAACAACTACCCGGAATTCAAGAGATGTTCATTTTTTGTCTTTTTAAATACATGTTTGTTTATTGAAAGATAAATTTTGTATTCTAGGATGACTACTGTCCTATATACTAAAGCTCATTTAGTGGGCTGAGAATGTTCTCCAGTAGTAAAACATTTGCCTAACACGGTCAGGGTCCTAAGTTTGATTCCCAGTACCAGAAAAACTGCAAACCCCAAAACATTACCTTCTAATTGTATCATATTTTTAAGGAACTAATATACTGACTAGAACCATTACATTTGAAGGTGATGATACTTAGACACATTTGAACTGCTTCCTCCTCTGGAAATCATGTATATATTTTTTTCCTTTGGAGAAGAGCAAGGAACAGGATTTCCTCCTCATCTTTATTCAGATTAAACTATTTTAAATCAAAGAAGAGGACTAAAAATGAAATAAAGCTATTGATTACACATAATTTTAGGAATGCCATTAAATGAGAAAAACATCCTGAGCTTTATGCAAATGACAACCCAGCATATGTGAATATGTTTTTCTCTTCCTGAGACCCCCGTATGGCATGAGTCTGTTGATGAGGAGGTTGAGGGGTGACATTTGAGCTGCGCTTGGGTTGGATTAGTGCTGATTAGTGCGGATTAGTTTGGATTAGTTCAGATTCCTTCTGGAGTTTCCTACAACTCATTGGAAGGCACTGGGAAGTCCAAAGAGATTTGTTTCAGGGTCTGACTAAGGAGAAGTGAAAGAGAAGTAAACTTAACTGGGACTGGAAGGATGGATTGCTGTGGTTCTCAGCCACTTACGTGTCCATCAAAGCTACTTCATGTAGGAACAGCATTCTCCTCTCAGCAGCTCTGCTGGCTGACCTGGAGCGTGTGCTGTGAGCATTCATGGCTAAAGATTATATCTTGGGATGTATCTTTTCCATGACATCAAGTCCAGGAAGGTAGAGGGAAGAGCTTGAAGTGATGGAGCCAGAAGCTCATTTATGGGGAAGAAAAATAGAGACATTTGTCAGGCAGCTAAGTAGTAAAAACAGTGTTTGCTCCTGGATTTTCTAACATTTGTTGTTTTTGTTGGCATTTAAATTCTTTGTGGTGATTTACCTTTGCACTGATTTTGTGTTTATATTGTTTTCCTTTTCACAAGGAAGGCTCTCAATATGTACAAAGTTCAGGCCCCGTGAAACATGGATTCTCCTTGAAAATCACATATCAGAACAAAGCTTTTATATATTCAATTAGGTTGAGTTGCCTATTATTTTAAAAAAATAAAATGACCTGTTGAGAAACAATGTATTTCCCTAAAGTTTTCTCTTTACATTATTTTCTGTATTGTGGATAGAATTCAAGCTGTTTTTTTCTAAGCAAGGCATATGGTTGTTTAAAAAGACAGCAAATATAAATTCTTTATTCACCATTATTACTCATATACAAAGCTATATATTATATCATCAAGGGCAAAAATCAGCGTGTGTCAGATTGGGTAGGTGGGTGGTGGGGGAGAGGAATGTATTTAATTAGGCTTTTATGATTGAACCTTGGCATTGATTCAAATATTTTTACTTGCTATACAATGTATTTTTGTTTAATTCTTTCCCCATTGTCACCTACATTTTTGTTATTAAATGCAGCAATATGATAAAGGTCACAGTATAATATAACTCATTCTAAGTACTTTAGGGAATGCTTTTCTGTCTAGTATCTTTCCATGTAGCAATGAAACTAATTGTAATTTTCTGGCCCTTTTTAGTTGTACATCACATGAAGGATTTGATTTTAAGTTCTGAATCACCTTAGGCAGCCCCTTGCTTTATGAAGTAGGGTGGTGGGGCGACTCTGTAGGTGTTTTCAAAATTGCCTCTGCTGTAATTAAACAATTAGTGGTTAGAACCCTGGGATGGCTTGGAGTTTCTCTAAGAGTCTCACTTTGTCCTTGGAATGAATGTATGCCCCCTAACTGCTGATAGAATGGAGTCACTTCTGGGATGTTAAGTAAAGTCTAGGGGCTGGTGTATAACACATGTCTGCTTTGTACCATCTAGGTTGACTCTGTTCTGTTTTTTCTTTCATGCTATGTGCTCTCATCTATGGTACTTTCTTTAAGTCCCATATAAAGTTCCATGAAGGGAAATTTCCATGCAAGCATTGGGGGAATGATTTACCAGGTCATGTTCAGTCCAAAACAGTTTTGATGAATCTGATCCTGCCTCCAGTTCTTATTTGTAGGCTAAATCTCTATTTAAAGGGGAACGGTCTAGGCTCCCATCCTAGAATACATAATCATTCTAAAAATGAAGGAACAGTGACTTCATATTATCACTTGACACTTTATAAAATCATCATATTTTTTTCAGGTAAAATGCTTTTATTGGATCTAGTAGAAAAATAGTCTTATTTTAGGACAAAAATTTCTATTTTTCCCCTGGTTTTGCCATGTTATTTCTTTCAGTATTTACCTGAAATAGTGTATCAGATCAGCAAATCACTGGTTTGACATTTAGTATTAGGATTAATCAACAAATTTTACTTTGATGTTAACAATTTTTAATTGCAGAGGTAGTATAGACATGTACTACTAGATACAATTCTGATGGGATCTATAAAATTAACTTTTCTGCACAGTTTAGTTTCCTGCACTGGTTGGCTATAGATGAGGGAAGGTCTGTGGTGAGTGCCTCACGAGAGAGAGAGAGAGAGAGAGAGAGAGAGAGAGAGAGAGAGAGAGAGAGAAAGAGAGACAGAGAGAATTCTTGAAACCAGCAAATGCTAAGAAATTCTCTGATTTTTTTTTTTTATTTTGAGACAAACTCATGAATTATTATTTGACTTCAAATGTCCAATACCTATCTACTGAAAACCAGCCCTGGTATAAGTTCAGAGCACAAGATGACTGTGTTAGAGTTAACAACATTGGAATCTTTCTTGGCGTTACAAAGCCTGCTTACTGAAATTACATATAGGGTCGGTAAGACCAAGGGCTTTGAAGTCCCGCAATAACCCCTTTTGGAAGGCACGTAATTTGTTTGATGGAATCGTCTCGTTGCATTATATCACACAAAAGCTTTCGTAAAGACTCTTAAGCAAGAGCACAGCAAATTAACGAGCTTTGTGTCATGCAAATTGATGTCAAGAATGAAAATGAAGGCCCTGTATTTTTTCAAGCCCCACCCCTTAGTCAGGGTATATAAAGACGGTCTGAGACTAGAGAATCCATCACACTCACTCCCCTCCTACCTAAGCCTTCCACTCCTCACATCATGTACTACACCGACTTCGAAGGCTCTGTCTTCCCAGGGTGCTACTGGGGCAGCTATGGCTACCCTCTGGGGTACAGTGTTGGCTGTGGCTATGGTAGCACCTACTCTCCAGTGGGCTATGGCCTTGGCTATGGCTACAATGGCTGTGGGGCTTACAGAAGATACTGGCCATACGCTCTCTACTGATGTGCTGTGATCTCCCTGGCATAGACTCATCTCTTCGTGAAGGCTGAGTGGCACCTCCAGGTTCCAGCTTTACCTTCTTCTTTCATCCTCGCTTGCTCATCAACCTCTTCCCAGAAAGCTGTTTTTCAGATCTTACAACTGAGTCTCAAGCAAAGGAACTGAAAATCTAGATGATGCCTCAAGCTGCCTTCTCTGGATCCTGTTTCTTGGGACTTTTTCAGAAGCTTGGCAATCATCGTGACATGCTTTGCTTTTGAATTTTTCAAGACTCTCATGATTCCTTGTCATGGTGAACTTGTGGAAGTGTCTGTCAAATTCTCAATAAATTTGTCTCAGCTTGCATAATGTTTCCTTCCTTGAGTGGAGCTTCCTTTTTGGGTATGTGCATATTTTCTGATACGTTGAGTCGGGGAGGGAAGCAGGTTTATTTTTAATCACTTAGCCTTAGGAGTTGTGAAGAGGCAAATCATCCTTGATCCTGTGGGGTAAATTGACAAGAGGGTAGGTGCTGATCCTGGGCAAAGTTGCTTATCTGATCCTTCCCCATGCCGTGAGTTAATGCGGCACAGATGGTGGACTGGAATAAGACAACAAAGAAGGATTTTTATGAGTCCGACATCTCTCATGCCAAGGATGCACTCAGTGTTATTTGGCATCTCTCTCCCATCTCACTATTCCTGCCTGTCCCTAAGAAAACCAACACAGGGGCAACTTTCACAGTTATTCCAGGTTAGTGTTGATGAAACTCACTGTGATCTCTCTCCCAGGGAATAATGCTTGCAGAATTTAGCACTATGTCCCCTCTTTAAGGACTCTGGAGCATTAAGTAATAGAGAAGGTACATACATCCTTTGGGAGTCTGAGATTCTGTTAAGTGAAGTGATAAATCCCCTGTATCAAATCATCTTAGATGTCTACTTTATAGCTTAGAGGCACACAGGTTAGAGACAACGATGGGAAGCTTCTTAATCTTTGGAGAATCAATACCAGGTAGTGAGCTCCACTATTAAAAGATATGAGCTATAACAAATGAGTATCTCTGGAGATACATCAGCCTTTCTTTCTATTCCTGTAGTGAAGAGAGCAATAGCTCTTTTATAAGACATGTCAAAAATGTCTCAATCCTCCTGTTGACAGCATTTTGTGTATGGTACAAATATTTCCAGCAATGGGCAATTTGACTGAGTTCTGCATTTTTACTGAATATCTGCAAATGGTTTTACTGCACATCATTAACCTAAATATGTAAAGACTGGAGAGATCACTTCAGAAGAGAATTTTCTCCACCATATTTTACCCAATGGATGTCTTTCAGCAAATATTAATGCCAAGAATATCTAGCAGCATATCATTTTCTTTTTAACAACAATGGACATTATCACAGCCAATACAACCTCCACTTCATCCTAGTAGGCACAATGTTAACTCATGCTGAGAAGTATGACTTAGATAAACCCACAAGTAAGAGAGATTAAAAAATAGACCAAGTAATTGGAATAAAAAATATACTGATTTGGAATGATGGCTGACTGCTATAAGGTGGTGGGCTTCAACAGATACCAGAAAGCCTCTAAGCCAGAAGTATGCAGGAGAGTAGTTTGCATAGCTGATGTGAACCATACAAATCTCACACCCCACCCCCAGGCATTCTGACTTGGTGCACATCTGGATAAGGTCCAGGGATTCTGAAGCTTTTAATGTTTCAGGGATACTAGAGGGGACTTGACACCCACAGTTTAAGGAAACACTGTTTGGGGGGCTACTCTACACACACACACACACACACACACACACACACACACACACACACACACACACAGCATGAATCTTAAAAAGTCTTATTAATAAAAACAAACCTGAAGCCAGGTATTGGGGGTGACCAGAGAAGCAGAACAAGCCACAGCCACCTCACCTCACCAATTCCTCAGCTGATCCCGTTTCCTCAGACTGGATGCCTCTGAGTTCTCATCCAAATAGACCTCGGCTGAACTGTTGCTCAAAAGCCTAAAAGCTTAACCAGCAACTAGTTTCTCATCCTCACCTCTTAAATACCTTTCTGCTTTCTGCCATCACTTCCTGGGATTAAAGGTGTGAGTCACCATGCCTAACTGTTTCCAGTGTGGCCTTGAACTTACAGAGATCCAGATGGATTTCTGCCTCTGGAATGCTAGAATTAAAGGCATGTGTGCCACCATTTTCTGACCTCTATATCTAGTGGCTGTTCTATTCTCTGACCCCAGATAACTTTATTAGGGTGCACAATATTTTGGGGAACACAATACCACCACACACACACACACAAATATGCATTTATACACACATAAATATACAAACACATACACACAATATCACCAATCATCCATTCATATATCTGTCTATCTATCTATCTATCTATCTATCTATCTATCTATCTATCTATCTATCTATCTATCTATCTATCATCTATATGTCTATCTGGATAGACATATAGATAAATCTGTCTATCTATCATCTTTTCCTTTTTTTTTTTACCCACCTTATCATGTCAACACAGAACAAACAAAGCTTGTACCTCAAAGGTAATAAGAAATATTTTTTTTTTCTTTCACCAAGTAGGAGTGACTGTGGTCCAAAACCAGATTCATGTTGCCCCAAAATAACACATTTCAACACTGGAAGAGTTTATGAAGCTTTTTAGCTGAAGGATATGAAAGAAAGTCATAAATCAAGGCATGCTTTGAATACGTTGGTGGGGATATCAGGGAGATGGTTTTCTGCTGTAAGTTTCTGATGCTATCTGGTGGTATCTTTAGCTTTTGGGATGATGGAAGCTAGTGGTCTGCTAAAAATGCTCTCCAAAGGTTTTATGTGATAGTTAAAATAATGTTAGGTCAGACACAGAGCTGGGCAATCAGTGACTATTAAGAGGACTAAAGATACTTTGGCTCTGAATCTGCAACTTTCTCTCTCTGACCGTGAAGACCTAATCAGCTGATCAGAAAACAGGTATGGCTTTAATGATTCTTCTGGGAACACCAAGTTCAGGGTCATCTGTAAAACTGAGCCTTGGTAAAGGAAAATCATTTACCTAGAGCTTCCCACCACATCCAGCAAGACAAAGGCCAAGGAAGGATGACTGTCACACCCAGGAAACAGAGTGCATGCATTAAGTGCCACATGTGTGATGGGTACCTTTCAATCTCAGTTCTCAGGTGGCTGCTGGAATATTTCAAACTGGAGACTCTTTTTGGATATAATGTCTACAAGTGTTCAAAAAAGAATTGTATATCAGAGATTCAGTAGACTAGTGTTTTGAAGCCAGATGCCATGATATCTATGTTATTATGAGGTTTTCAGGTTCACACTTTGTTATGCAATAGGTCTATGTTCTGCACTATTTGAAGTAATTTGACTTTCTTTTCAGTTCTAAGGATGGATTGCAGGCCCCCAGGGATACAAGGCAAGACTACCACTGTGACACACTTTTGGGTCACAGTTGGTAATCTTTTTAAGACTGAATTTCACTTTGCTCACTGTGGTTTTTTATAAAATACACATATCAAGAGATAATACTTGGGAAATCTAATGAGGAAAAAAGTACTTCTATCGTGCTTGAGAATCTGAATTGAAAATATTCAAGTAATTTGTGCTATCAGTTCAGAAAAATTATAGATTTATATTAAAATCTTTTCATTTATTGTCCTTTTCAGGTTCCTCTGTTAAATGTGAATATAGGAACTAAGATGACTCATCTATACTGATAGAGACATCATAAAATTAAAACAAGTACATTTTTATAAGTAAATTTACAGAAAGAATAGAAAGAATATTTTGTACTACACTTGAGCTCAGTGGTGCTCTTCATGGAATGGAGCTAGCTTGTTTTTTCTAGTGGCAGGTCTACTTGGCTTTCAGTGGAGTTAGACTCAGCACTCTGCATATAGTGCGGGGACTCACTATAGACAACTGGATTACCTTGAAGTTTGGTCAACAAACATACAAAAGATGGTAAGCATCCATTTGCTAATGTCTTATAAGTCATCCTGAATCCATAGTCATTGGTGGGTTACAAGCCTCATGCATGTGTGGTTTATGATGTAAGGTCCCCTCTCAAAGTCACACAAATTGATTTTTTTCTCTCATAGCTTAACATTTAATTCTTCTAATTGTATAACCATGATATGCTTAGTTGAGATTTCCCTCTGGATGAAGTTTGTAGAACTGGAAAATATTATTTTATTTGAATATTGAAATCCTCTTATTTTCAGAAGACTATCTATCATCTATCTATCTATCTATCTATCTATCTATCTATCTATCTATCTGTCTGTCTGTCTGTCTGTCTGTCTGTCTGTCTATATAGAGAGAGAAGGAAAAAGAGAGAGAGGTTATTCTTAGATGAATTCTGGCATTTTAGAATTCTTTGCTGAGTTATGAACTGAATAATTGTACTCTTCAATTCTCTCCTAAACCTTGGACAGTGAGATTTCCATTCTGTTTATGGTTTTCTTACTGACTTCTTTCCACGGCCACCTTTTCTCCATAAAAGGAAAGATTTTTGAATGCTTCAACGTTCTTTAGAGGTTTTTTTTTTTTTTTTTAACATGTCTACAATCTACATATCAAAAAACATCTCCAATGTCTTTGATTATCTGTGTCATTTTTAGGCTTTATATCCATCTTAGGAAACCCCTCTACATTGGTCATTAGACTTTGAAACTCCTTGCTTACTTAGCAGGAAGGACTCACCAGCGGCAACTGAATATGAAGATGTTAATATCTATTTACCCACCTGGATTCAATGTGGTGTTTTAAAGCTCCTATGAAATCTGCTGAGCTGATTTTAATAGAATATCTACTGCTCTGTGTCTCAACAAACATTTCCCAAGTGGCCTCTAAAGGTTGTTTTGAAGGTATGTATCATCTGTCCTTTTCCCAAGGTTGAAGAAGTATTCTCTGAGTGGCATTCTGTATGTGACTAGTGCATCTGGTCATACCGACCTGTAAATGTGTTTCCCACAAGAGAAGACAGTCAGGAGTCCGAAGACAGCAGAGTCTGTTAGATGTAAGGCATCCCATAACCACATTTCATTGTTCATGCATGTAAGAAAAATAATAAAATGATTTTCCCTCCCACTCACTTTACTCACTTGTGTTTTCACCTTTCATGGTATAACTTTGTTGCCAAGTTTCTTATTTCCTAGAGAACCAGAGGACTCAAGCTTGCAAGGCAAAGTCAGTTCCTAATTGGATGTGTGAACACTGTCTCAGTGCAGAGGTCAAGAGAGATCCCACACAGCACAGGGAAACTTAAAGCCCCAGAATTCATCCTTCTCAAAGATTCCAGATGTATTTCCACCTTT